CAGTCCCATCCGAATCTACTTGTTTCCAGCCTTGTTTCTTCCTCGATTCCTGATAATCCCTCTAGGCGTCTGAAAAGAAGATGGCCACGTGATCTTCTCACCTAGAATTAAATATGGAGTGCTTCCACTGGGCAGTATCATCTCTTCAAGTCTGTTCATGTCATTATTTCCAATGTGTGCATTTTTACTAGTTGTATTGTTTATACAGTTGTAAATGTCATTAAATAAATAAAATAAAATAAAAAAAATATTTACTTATTATCGTCCATATTTAGTCCACAAAGAATATATATAATTTTTTTCCTCATTCCCACCTCTTTTTCATTGGCGTGTAATGACAATTCGTATACTGCCATAGAACTTTATAATCTAAAAAAATGTAAAAAGAGTAAGAAGTCGTCGTTCATTATTGTTTAGAATATTTTTTTAACGAATCTGAAAGGCTTATTTCTTTCTGTATTTTTTAGATTAGAAACATACTTTATAGATAGGTAGATTAGTTATATGTAAACTGAAACTGTAATGGCCTAACATGTAAAAGGGTAAGCTTTAACATTCTCGAGTCTAGCAACGACGATTCGTAGTGAAAGAGATGAAATTTATTTCTTGTCTGGTCCATGTAATGAATCTCCCTCTCTGGCTAGAATCGGTTTGATTGAACCTCTAAAATAACCTCCCTCCCACATGTCAGAAACAACGAGGTAGACAAAATTATGGGAAAAGAAAAAATAAAGCCATATGTAAACATTGTGTCCAATCCTTCGTCAGCACTGCATATTATGTAAAATTAAAAAAAAAAATTATATATTACATAATAGTATTTTTTTTATTGAATTATCCAATGTTTCGACCTATTTTGTAGGTCATCTTCGTGGCGTTCTGACACTCCCAGAAACAATACAGAGACCAATTTCACTAATGATTTTCAAGGCCAACATCAATTTGCTATCCGTACTGCTTTCTGCAGTGCAAGATGAAATGCCCTGAAGAAGTCAGATAAAGTTGATTGAAATGTTAGGTAGTTCAATAAAATATACAATTATTTAATATATTGTTTTATGTATTGACCGCACACCCAACTAATTTCTTCTGAAATTAGAATTTATCGTCAATGATCTCCACACCAAATATAATTCTGTATCTATTTTTATTTTAGGAGTTTCAAATACAAGCAGACAAATTAGGAGTAAATGTACCCTAGATTGCTGATGTTACATGTCGAAGACGCTAAATTAAATTAGAAAAATTAATTTACTTACAATTCGAACAGTAAATCTGTTTTCCTTGTTTAGTGGTTTGAAATTATAAGGATCTTACACAAACATAATACTTGGCAGAGGTATTTTTTATTTTTGAATATAGCTTCCGGCAGTACACACATCTCAAGATTGGACAAAAACATGATTTCAATTACATGACTAAACATTTCTTAAAATATTGGATCACGAGGTTTTAAAGGCTTCTTCAAAACTTAGTTTCAAGGTCCAACTTTTAAAAGTACTTTCAAGGCTTCAGCTCGTTGAGCACGGTGAGCACGGGAACTCTATTGAGGCTCCAAAACCTCTTATCAAATATCGTACACGGTGAGAAGAGGTTATCAGCTCTCAAATCACATTTCCTCTCGACCTTCGGTGAACTTTCCCGTTGAGTCGAGGAATCGAATCGCTTCAACTCATTTCGGCTTTCATTATGCGGCCTCTACCTCAAAGGTCGTTACAGCCTGATTATTAAGCTCGATTCTTTGGCCAAATCGATTTGTGGTTACGGACGAGTCCTAAAAATTTTTTGACTAATTAATTTCCGAATCTTCTTTGTAGGGTTTTATAGGTCAATATCGAGGGTCAACCGCGGAGATTATTTAAACAACAGTCAACAATCGATTGTATTCACTTTGCACTAATCAGTAAACTCGAAGCAGGAGCGTTAAGAAAATGTTGCCTATAGAAATTGGATCCCAAATGTATAAAAATTGAATCGTTTGAAGGGGATTTTTTTCAGACCAGCATCGAATCGAATCGCACATGGTCTAGATTGCAAAAAAACATTTGCAGAATTTAGAAGGGGGCTGCGCTCCGAATGACAACATTTAAAATTCACCCGAAATTCAGCTTCTCCACTCAAGTCATGAGCGTATGTGGCTTTAGTGCCCTTTCTCAGCCTCCACTGGATCCCCATCTCAGTGACGCGGCTAAGAGAGAAGCGCTGGGATCTCTTTAGTCTTGCCTTATCCCTCCACACGTGGGAGAAAGGTCCCGACTTGTAGCTCCCTCGACTGACTCTAAATATTGAAAAAAACATGAATGTTTTTTTTATTATTTTGTGTTTTATCATATTTATGTTTTCTATATTACTAAGTTTTTTTTTGTATTCCTTTTGTTATAAATTCTTTTGTTTTTGTAATTGTATACATTGTATGAATGAGTCTCTCACATATCAAATACTGAATGACCTTGATCGAGGCAAAATGTATTTTTCCCAATAAAATAAGATTTAAAAAAAAATATTGTAAATAAGTGCCAAAAACTGTATAATATTCTAATCGAGCAGGGGATTCCAAAAAAAAATAGTAAATCTAGTCAGGATCTGCTTGACGGAGACACTCAATAAGTTGAATCGGTATAATTTGTCTGAAAAATGTGAGGTTCGTTCGGGTTTAAACAGGGGATTCTCTTTCGCCTGTCTGTTCAATTTGCATTAGAACATGCATTAGGAGGTAATGCGAACGAGAGAGGGTTGGATCTGGCGGACAACATCCGTGCTGGTTATGCTGATGATCTGTACTGTTAAGCGAAGACGTTGAAACTATAAAATCTGAGTACGAAAGACTTATTACAATGAATAATGACAAAATACATGTAATACATTAAGTATTAATTAAGCTCTTAGGATAAATTAACGAGGACAGTTGGGTAATAGGGGTTCAGTACTACAATATTGGACCTAAAATAATTGCATAATTGAATATAAAAATTTAAAAAAAAAATAATAACTGTTAATATGTAGGGAAAGAAATTGTAAAAACTAAAACAAAAAAATATATAAAAAAACAAATAATGATATACATATGATCACTAAGATATTTAAGTGATTATGCGTAAAGATTAGGAGAAGAGAAAATAAAATAAAGTACATATGTTATTGTATATATGTTATGAATGAGTCTCTTACATCTCAAACACTAATTCACTTAATTGAGGCAAAATGTATTCTTTTCAAATAATTGTGATGTTTAATTATTTAACGCAAATCTTTCGATGGAAAAATATGTACAAATGAAGAAAATATATAATTTTATATTTCGGAAGGGGTCTCTACCTGAAAACCCGTCCCTCACCCATGGTTCTGCCAATGCGCCAATGGAATTAGCGCATATTGGCAGAGTTTTTTTTTACCGGGTTGTAACTTTGTTCCCGGAAGCCATAATGAAAGCGATACTAGAGCACCCCCCTAGCTCTCTTTACGGGGGCTTTAGCTGTTTTAATTATATAATTTTCCGCCATTGCTGAGAGAGCAGCAGGGGTGAAATGTATTCAACCCGGCCCGTTGAGGCGGACGGAATATTATCTTTAGGTGGGAACAGCTGAGGTGTGCTAAGCGATAATGGTCCCAGAGTTGCCCATCAGCTGTTCGTTCTCTCTCTCTCTAAACTGTAACTGCTTTCCCGTATCATAGTTATAAAGGGTGATTCAATTTGAGTTTCCTAACTTTAATTTAATAACAAAGAACACACACACACACACACACATATATATATATATATATATATATATATATATATATATATATATATATATATACCCTAACCACCCCACATATATTATTACAATAAGGCTCGAAATCGGTTTTGTACCATATATAAGCTCCTGTCATCAAATACCATGAATGGGGTACCGTTGGATTCAGAATTTCACGGGGGGTTAGCGAATCGTATTCTCCACTTTTGTTTTTCTTTATAAAATAAATAAAGTCGATACAAACATTTTGCTAGGCTTCAATACTGGAACGGTGGTAGGTCTGTAGATACGGGACAAATTGGATCTTGAAGGTTTTGATGCCTGCGTTCCTGTGGATCTCATTTCATCTCACCTTTATACATTTACTTTTATTATTATTAGTTTCCCTATTATTTATTGTAAATAGAGTGTGAATTTGCTCTCTCAATACTATTATGAATGTCCTTAATTGAGACAGATTGTAATATTTCTCAATAAATAAAATAAAATAAATTACTCCTTATTTATTAGTTACTGTATTTTTTTATTTACAAAATAAATAAAAAATAATAAAAAATAAATTTTTATACTAAACCCACAAGTTTATTACAAAAAAAGTTCTTTGGAATTTTTTTTTTCTTTATATATTTTTTTTTTGGTTTCTTCTAAAATCTTAAAATGGAACTTTTTTAAAAAGTTACCTAAGCGTTTCGACCCCAGGTTGTGATGTATTTGGATCCTGTTTTTTAATGTGTTACAGAAGTAATGCTATTTTTTTTTTAATTACTAATGATGAAAAAAAATGTTTAGGCAAATAATTGGAAAAAACTTTTTATTTCTTTTAATTTGTCACTACGAAGGTAATGTTACTTTAGATGTATAATTGTTTTAAAATAATAAACCATTGTGAAATAATTAGCAGCGTTTTTTTCTTATAATTACTTTGAAAAACATTTTTAAAAAAAGTTGAAATTCACAAAATATGGTAGAGAGTATAGAAAAAGTTTACCCTTCCACTTCCAAAAGGTATCTATTAATTCTCAACTTAATCAATATACAAAATTTAAACACTATTTTTTAATATATTCAATACTTTTATAGTACTGTTCAGCCTAGAATAAATATCGAAATGTAACCAGAGAAAAACATAAATATACATTTTTATTATAATTATATTTGTAAGAATAATTTTCGGGTGAAAAGAAGAATCTTCAAAAATAATGGAACCACGATAGATCCATAATCCCGAACCTTGATCCATGGATCATCGGGAATTAATGGGAGAACTCAGCGGGCATTAGCGGACAAAAGGTGCAGGCAGATTAAACTGAGATCATGTATCGACCCGTCCGCTCCAATAGGGCTCAATAGCAATCTCCCAGGATAGACTAGAGGAGCCAGGAGTTCCAAGGAGGTCATCATAGAGGATGAGGAAGGTGGATAGAGGATAGAGGATAGAGGATAGTGGATAGAGGATAGAGGATAGTGGATAGTATAGCGCGGCGTCGGGACGAAGATGAATGGGCGGGAGTTTATACTCGGACTTCTTTCTCCGGGAAGGAAGGATACACTAAGGAGATCCTTTCTAGAATATAAGGGGTTCACGGAATTTATAATGTGTGTATTCAAATTTGAAAAAAATAAAATAAACTTAACAAATAGAAAAAAAAAAAGAAGGAAACAGAAACACTGAGGTTATATATTCTCTATATATTAAGTTTTTTAGGAGGACAGAAATCTGTAAATAACTGAGAAAATTTGACTGAATTTTAAAAATAATTAAACTACGAAATACCTTTCTGAACATTACACAACTGTTTACTAATACAATGCTGGGATAATCAAAAGTTCCCTCGCTAACCTCAAATCGATTTATATACAAAACGTTAACGCTTAACTTATATTGAGAGAAATTATAAATACGAATCCATAAAAAAAGATGAGTTAACCGGAGAGTTCAGAAGGTTGTAAAACGCCGAGATGCGCGAACTGTATTCAGCTAATATAAATGAGGTGGTTACATCGCGGAGAATCAAATAGGCTTGTAAAATTGTTGGGCTTAGTAAAGAAAGAATTCCTAAAAGGTTGATATTTGCTGTATCAAATGGTAAACGTCCGAGGGGTAGACCGAAGCGAAGGTGGGAAGATTGCATTAAAGCCGATCTCAAGGGACTGGGTTTGGAAGGGGAGGTGTGTAATAACCGATTAGTGGTGTCGGCATCGAACCTCCGGGTTCGCTAAGCCTTTTATTATTATTATTTTATAAGAATAACGACCTCGACTACTAAGCCATGCTAGTTTAGGAATGGCTACATTATAACTGCTCCAAAGTTATAAAAACTCCACCACAGTCAGGAGATCATCATTTGATAGAACAGCTGTTGCTAAAATTGGAGGTAAAAATTAGAAAATATGAAATTTCTAGCACAGAAAAAAAAATCGATGAATAGACACGGAATCAATAAAAAAAATGGTCAACCTGATGGCATGCTTAGATCTTTATTTAAGGTAAAGAAGGTGAAGTATTTATGTAATTATTTAAACTAAAAAGGTTTTTTTCTCCCAATACTTAATAATAAAGTATCTATCCCAAGACATCAATTTTATAAACAATTACTATGTCTTATTTATATATTTATTTTTTTTAAATTTTATATGTATATCATATTAAAATATTTTTTATAATTCGACCTTTATATATTATAACTTAAAGTGTCAATTACAGTCGGATAATAGGGGATGAAATACACTTAAATAAGTTAAAACAACTTCTGTTTATTCCTTTTATTCAAAAGTTTCGATCCCTGCTATTTAACATAAATAATGCGGTCTTGTTCAGTTCTGCAAAAGCAAAACCCACATACATACATTTCTACAATAATACACAATTTATCGATACCCCAAGCCGGGTATTGATTGGGTATCGATGCTCAATTAAAAGTAAGATAAATTGTGGAACTGTTTGAAAACTTTTGACTTTTATACCAATGATAGATTTTGTTTTTCCAAAACTGAAGAGGAACCTTTTATTTATGTTGAAAAAACAGGGATCGAAACGTTAAAATTAGAGGAATAAACAGAAGTTGTTTTAACTTATTTAAGTTTATTTCATCACCTATTATCTGACTATAATTGATACTTTAAGTTATTTATATATATATATATTATATATATATATATATATATATATATATATATATATATATATATATATATATATAATCTTTCAAGCAAAAATATGTTGTTTTTTTTACCGTTCTTGGTCTTTAGAGTTTGTTTACTGTGTTTTGATTCGATTTTAATACAGAACAGTAATATACATTCTTCGCGTACCCTTGACTTAAAAAAAAAAATTCAGATATTTTACAATTGGTATAATCTATGAAACAAAGAATCTTTGTGAATAATGCTGCTACAATCTGGACGGACTAAGAACTCTAGCCCAGATAATGAGATTAAAAATAGAGGTGATAAATGAAGGAAAGCTTTTGTAATGGAACTCGGCTAGAGGATGAGAATAGAACCGAGCCGCGGACCAAAAGCCCTGCCAAAAACATTAAACGGCTTTACTGCTAAAAACTTCTACTCCTATAAAACATCCTCCCTTTTTATCCTGCTCCTTCCAACTCCTTAATCCGAGGCTTAAGATGGTGTCCTGCTAGTCTCTAATTTCCTATCGATTGGATATCGGATAGCTCTCGGGTTCTCCTTTTTGATTCGGACGTAGAAGAAAATCGGTAAAGATACCAGAACCTTTAGGAAGAACTCTAGCTAAGCTCAATAAAAAAAAATAAAAAAAATGTCCAAAATAATTGGTCTTTTATGGGAATACTCGTTATACTATTTATTTCTAGAATAACGAATAGAAGTTCTAGAAATAGTAAAATCCAAAAACATAGATATGAGGCTTGCGTGTGTGTACTAATTTCAGTTATATTAATCACCATTAATTTTCCCTAAAAAATATATTATTGCACAGTTTCGAAGTTCATGGAAGGGTGCTGGAGGTGCATTTTTGTGATTTTTAGTACCAGTAGAAAAATATTATGACGAATTTCTAAGATATCTTTTAATAGAAAATTTAGGGAAGAAATTTTAGGGATTTCATAAGATAAGCAAAATTCGAAACAATCTCGGCCGAAATCAAGGCGAATATTGGAAACCCGGGGACCGTAGCCGCAGCTAACGTGTTAAATGTAGTTCTCCTTTATTCAATAAATTGAATTATAGATAAAAATTAAATGCAATACAAATTTCACAAAACACATTTCAATATGGACCCTTTCTGAAGTACTAAAAAAGAAGTAAATAAAAAAAAAATTAAAAATGAAGAGTGAGAATTTCAAACTTTTCAAAATTAAAAATTCGACATTTTCACGAACAAAATTGTAAAATTAGAAAGATGATTCGCATCGAGAAGTTAAGTTCTATGTTAAAAAAATAAATGTTTTACTTACAAACTTCAAAGAACTGGTTCTTCTATTGACACTAACCTGGAAAAAAAATGAAAAATAATATTAATTTTTTTTGATGAACTGTAAATATGATGTTATGACATAAGAAAAAATAATATTAAACTAATATTATATTAATTAATATGAACTAATACATGATAATTAAAATAAATATCTAATTTGTCAAGAGCAGTGGCACCATCGTGTTATATTTTTTTCTCATTTCTTCAAATAATGAAGTAATTTCTACACAGTAAATAAGAAAAAGTAATACATTTTCAAAATTAGATATCAGTTTTAAATTTCATTATAAGCTAAAATAATCGTTCGATAAAAATAATGAGAACACTGAAATCTGGCTTTGACAAGAAATCAAAAATAACAGCCGTTGGATTGACAAGAGGTCGTTAGGCCAAGTGGCCAAATTATAAATAAATTCGCCAGCTCCCAGAAGACAAGTATACCTTATATTTTTCATATATATATATATATATATATATAATTATTAATATTGTCTTCGATTTTCTCAATCAAGGATTACTTTGTGCTCTGTACATTTAAGGGTTTTTCAATAGGAAAATAAATTTTAAAGTTTTCCATTGGTCTCCCATGAAAATTTCATTTAGTGACTATGTAAACACATTTAATTCTCGATCAACAATAGACAATAGTAATATATTTATAAGATAAGTACATCGAAGAAATCCATCAATCGATTTCAATCCATCCAAGGACCGATGGATAGCAATGCATTTATTGTAATTAGTAAGTTTAGAAACGACCTGTTGAATGCCAGTGAAAGGTCATAACCTCCTGGAAGCTTAAAAAAAAATTACATACTGAATGTTGAATTTATAAATAAATTGGCTCATTTATATTACTATTCTTATATCTAAAAAATCTGGTGCGGTGCGCTCATCACACGACTTTTACTTACCACCCTCTTCTTAGCAGAAATAATAATTTTCAGACAAAGGAGAAGTAAAAGTAAAAATTATAGACGCTACAATTATTTATATTTCATTGTGAATTTTTTTATTTCTATATATATCCTTATAAATACAAATTTTAATATTTATATCGGTATAATCTATACAATTAAATATTAAATAATACCAACAATAGCATTTATGAAAACCGCATATGTATATTTATATAATATTGTCGGAGTCCGTATTATATTAAGCTCATAACGTAAGGATATAATATAATGTTATAATCTTTCGGGCGAGCTCGGGTGCGATCAATTAACTTTTCTCCATTACGATTTTCTCTTTCTATTTTAGTTAATTATGAAATTCCTTTATATTTTACATTTAACAATCTTTTATATTAGAGATTAATGTGAATTAGTCAATTGTTTCAAATAAAAAAAAATTAAAGGTACTTTAGAAGAAGCTAATATTGAAAATTGGGCATTTGAGTCCTGTTAGAGAACATCAACCCCAAAAAAAAACTATATTTTATTTAAAACTGCCTAATTTTACACTGACATAATAAATTTAATCAAAATCGTTACAGCCGTTTCCGAAAAAATTGTAAAAATTTGTTTATCCCATAATATAAAGTACCACTTCCGATCAGTCTATTTTTACGAAAAAGTTACCGTAACATCTCTAGCATATAAAAACCTTAAATATGCAATTTCACTTTCGTGAGACTTTTAGACTTTCGTTTTTTAGTTAGACTGTTAACACACACACAGAACATCTTGCGGGATTTGGTTATTTGGACTCAGGGTACCTCAAAACGTGTATTTCCGTTAAAAATTGGGATTCGCAATTTTTCAAGATCGCAATACTTTCCTTTACTATGTATTTTATATATTCGTAAATGAAAGTAAAAATTCCATTTCAATCTGCAAAAATATTCTTTTTATTTTCCGCTTATGCTTTGATTAAAATTGATACCTCTCTGTTAGTTCATAAAATGTTTACCGGAGTCTTAATAAAATAAAAGAGAATAATACTCAAGCTCTATAACCAGTTCGAGATTATCTCAAAACAATTTCTAGATTAAAAAAAAAAGATCCAATTTATCTTAAAGTTAGATTTGAATAATGAAGGATGCGAAAAGCCAGGAAAATAGTGCCATTATTTTGCCGGATGGTTCAGTTATAAAACTGCCTAAG